CTTTTTGCTCACAATTCTTGCAATTCCCTAAAGTACTATATTTTGTCGACTTTTTCATGATGTGCGGGCAAGCTTGTGCATAGTGTGGTCTCTTTTTTCCGGAACGTAGGAATATTCCATTTCGTTAGGAGTGGCCTTAGCTTTCGGACAGTTTTAACTGAAGATAGATATACCAATCGTTTCTTCCCTGTTTCCTTTTTCTATTGCTCACCCTGCTACCAGTAATAATTGTAAAACTAAAAATTTACGATTATTTCTACGTGAAATTTCTTTCAGATTAGCATTTTCTCAAGGTATTCTAGGAATCAAAAACCTTTGCGCGCAAAAATTGCTGCTTCTAATTATCTTTTTCCCCTTCCATCGCGAATTAAACCTTTTTATCAATAGCGTGTAATAAAAGTAGGAATCCATCCAATTTTACTTTTCCACACAATCAGAATCAGAAATAATCGACGCTTTGGAGCCCCAGAAGAGTTGGCGACTGTGTTAAGTGTAATGAAAATGTTACGCTATAACTTTATGTGAATCCAGAGCTTACTGGTGGGGAGACAGCCTGATGTTGCCCACAGAAGTAGCAATCCCTCCTATGCATGTGATCATGCCATCGAGCCGACAATGGCGGGCCAATATGGAACTGATGGCAAAGATATGCAAATCTCACTGCTGCTTCCTTTTGAGTTTGAGAGCAAGGACTGAAGAGGCTCAATTATTTGGCATGCTTTGAGCTCAAACTCTGTCTTTGTGGATCTTGGCCCAGAGTGGACATCTAACGGAAATTGGCAGCGAACGGACAGAAATGGTGTGCAGCACAAGTAGCCTTCTTTCGGCCAACTGCCCGATAAACGGACGCTTCACTTCACACCCGTACCGGAAATGAGAAATACGTTAATAATAGCCACTCTCTCCAGCCGAGAGATAAGTCAATAGATTCGCTTGGTAGTTTCCATCTGTCCGCTTAATTTCACCTAATTACTTCACGCCCTGAGTCCAAATGACAAGGTTTTGCGGCTATTTTGGTCAATTCAATCGACAGAATGGAGCTGCCAATCCATTTGGTCCTGCCCGCTGGTAAGGTTCTACTGAACACCTTCACTCAGTTTCCTCCGAGGCAGCAGAGCCCCTGGGGCTTGAATTGGGCCGACTGAACCGAATTGGTTATTCCCTTCTGAATTGGAGGACTGTGGAAATTCAGTGAAACCGATGGGTACCAAGCCGAGGCTGTCAATGTAGAACTTGTCGTGACGGCATCTCTCATCAAAAATAGGTTATTGTCAACAGTTTGCCGGTTCGGACCCACCTGCTAACTGAGATGCGCCAGGACACTCTGGAAAGCTATTGAGTTCATGACCTTCCGGATCAAACATGAACACTTCTTCGCGGAAACAAGAAACAACTAACCAGACAGCCTTGTGTGTGTGTGTATATATATTTATATCTTTATATATTTGTTCATACTGACATACAGGAGGTGGGTTCATTATGAGCGTAACCTTTGTGCGGAAGAGAAGAATGAGAAGAAGAAGAAGAAGAGATTTTGTAACTGTATCTTCTCAGGCAGCCCTCGTGTGTCTGTGTACACAGTCAAGCCGACTGTCTGGTCGTCCTCTCTATCGCAACTGGTGTCTGTGATTAACCACGGCCAGGCTCACATCGCGCATTACAGTCGTGCAGGCAGCACTTCCGACCCCCAGAAGGACCACATCAACCCTCGGCAAATAGGCTTGCGTGTACTCTTAGCGAGCCAAGTGTCAAGTGGCGCAGAACGTCTGCATTTGTGGGGAACAGGTGGCGGTTTTTGCAGCGATGATGGCATTTGTGGACAGGCTACTTCTGTTAACACTAAAGTTATGGCCCTCGTGACAGAAAAGCGTGGAGAGAAGGAAAAGAGGTGGTCTTTTGCGTGCGGACTGTGCGCTATAAGATGCCGAAATAGGCGTCATAGACAATCTACTGCTGGATATATCCATAATAACTTGAGAATTAACGCTAACAACAATTTGCTCCAATCACCTCAACTAGGTAAATCGAAGGTATGAAAACCAAGATGGTGTAACATTTTGTTTGGTCGCAATCTCCTTTCGTTGTATAGAAGTTGTTTGACCTTGTTTTTGCAACATGATCATAATGGTAGGAAGACTTAGAGAAACGCAGCTAGTCCGGAGTCCATTGTATGCATCATCATTTCCAGAGTAGGACCGTGGACGTGGTACATTCCCAGTCGTTTGGCCGGCATCGTCAGTGAGTTTTGCCATTCGTAGCATCATATTACAACTCGTCAAAGAGACAAGTGAAGCCCATCCTTTGACCAAACGCGTGCTAAACAGTTATGATATCTCCCCTTCTGTTCTGGCCTATTCACATTTCCTATATCCTCCTATCACACCGTCACTGTCACAATTTGTACCGTTCTTATTTCGATGTAGTGTGGTGTGCTCCTTCGAGCGGCATTCATGAAAACCCTTCACAATCCACACTGTCGTTATCACCCCCTTCGCCCTTGTGATGGGAATGTTGACCAGAGTCTGTCATATTGTTGCGTAGTCCTTCCCTGGGTCC